AAGGCAAATGGCAGCTGTAAGCAATGAAACAGTAGGCTATGAAGAAATTCACACTAACCTGTATTGGCATGTATAAGCTCAGACTTACAGTTTCTTCTTTTTCTTTTTTTTTTGGCAAGGGTGTGCAGGTAAAGCTTAGTGAGTTGCTTTTGTCCATATTATACATGTCATGTTTAAAATTTACATTTTAATGTCAACGGAAATTTAAATGGGACAGGAAGGCCGCCTGAGAGGAAGTGGTCATGCACTGACATGTGCAAGAGGTTAGTAAAACTACACTGTGGCTGAAAGTCACAGGCAGTGACTTTAGAAAACATTTACAGTTACCTCATTTTTTATCTCTCTTTCTCTGTGGTAGATGTGGAGAATAGTGTGTTCTCTACATTTTATATCGAATTTAATGATGTTATCAAAGCAAATGGAGACATTTGTTTCTGTGTGTCCAACATTCTCCGGAGACTGCAACCCTTCAAAATATTCACCAGAGGAAGAGGATATGTTTGTTAGATCATGGATATAATTCAGTCAGGGAAAGGCTTACGTCACAGTCCGGGTTCAGGACGAGGACATCTACTGCATCACCACATAAGTACATGTCAGTGTTTGAAGAAGTTAAAGCCAGCGTAAACATGAGCTCTGCATATGGTTGCCATTACAACAGCTGGGTGAGAGGTGACTGTAAGGTTTCTGCTTTCCTAAACGTCGAGGTGTGTTGGAGAAGAAAACAGGAGAACATCAACAAAACTGTGGCTCAGCCAAACGTTTCCCTGCATTATGGATGTGCGTGTGGAACTATGACAGAGTCACTGTTTGTTTTGATGTCAAAGGTTGTTGGCTTTTCCATAGTGGCACATGACAGGTTGAGGCTGGAGAGGAGGGGGTGAGGACGGTGTGAGACCAGCAGAGCAGAGGACTAGATTTAAAATGTGCAGATGTGACAGTCATTTGAGCTCGCAAATTACAGCTAGCCAGGCATAAAGACTTCTATATAGAGAAGGATCCCTTAGAAAGAAAGTAGAAGCACAACACTGACTTTATTTTTTTCTCTCATACTGTGCACACAATCATCTGGGTGCTGCTGCACTGTGGTGAGCGCAGACAGAGACCTGTGTTTGTGGTGGAAGAACAACAACAGCAAGTCAGTTAGTCTTGCTAAATTGGCAACACTGCGGTGAGCTAAAGCATGATGATCACCACTGTGACTGAGCGGGATGTGAAGCATAGAAGATAAGATCTTATACATTTCCACAATTTAAAGAAATAAATCCAGATCTCAAAACTGGAAATCTGGTGATGACATCTGCCAAATTTCTGAAAATGAAACTGTACATGAGTCACCCTTTCTAAGAGACGGAAACTGCAATGTGTATAAAAGATGAGAGACGCAAAACTCGAATTTACATTAACCTTTAATTGAAACTTGGCTTCTATTACTTTCAGTCTTCTAGATAAAAACATGGATTCAGTGATTTAGACCTTTTTTTTCCCCTTTCAGTATTTTAAAGAAGCTTCCAACAAAAGTTTGCCTTCTTCAAAAAGTCACAAAGTCTGTTTTCTGTTTTGCATATTTTGCACACTTAATTGTTTCAGATGATAAAACTAATTTTAATACTGGACAAAGATAGTGTGAGCAAGCACACAATGCAGTTTTTAAATGATGATGTCCTTTATTACAGGAACAGAAGCTATCCAAACTACCTGGCCCCCTGAAAAAGTAATTTATTACTGTCAGAGCTGTTGAATCAATAAAATCACTGAAAAAGAACCTGTTTGACAAAGTTTAGTAGGATAAAAGATCTCAAAAATCAACACGTCAGTAATAATTGACAACTATCAGTCTAGAGAGGGTTAAAACAGTTTCTAAGGCCTCAGTGAACCACAGGGAGAGCTATTATCTACAAATGGAGAAAACAGAGAACAGTGGTGAACCTTCCCAGGAGTGGCCTGCCTAACAAAATTAATCCATGCATGCATCATCAACTCACCCAGGAGGCCACAGTAGAATCCAGAACAACATATAAAGAACTGCAGGCCACGCTTGTCTACGTTAAGGTCAGAGTTCATGATTCAACAGTAAGACAGAGACTGGGCAAAAAACGGCATCCATGGGAGAGTTCAAGGAGAAAACCCCTGCTGACCAAAAAGAACGCAAAGGCTCATCTCACATTTACCAAAGAACTGCTTGATGATCCCCAAGATCAGTTCTGTGCACTGACAAGACAAAATCTGAACTTTTTGGAAGGTTTGAGCCCCGTTACATCTGGAGTGATGCTAGAGCAGCATTTCATAAAAGAAAACATCAAACCAACAGTCAAACATGGTGGTGTGGTGCTGCTTCGGGACCTGGAAGACTTGCTGTATTTGATGAAGTCATGAATTCTGATCTCTACCAGAAAATCCTGAAACACAATGTCCAGCCATCAGTTTGAATGAAGGTTTTGGAGTGACCTATTCAAAGTTTGGACTTAAATCCAATTGAGATGCTTTTCCATGACCTTAAACAGACCGTTCATCTTGGAAAACCCCCAATGTGGTTGAATTAAAACAATTCTGCAAAGAAGAGTCGGCCAAAATTATTCCACAGGGATATGAAAGACTCTTCAAGGGTGACACAACTGCTGTCAGGTAGGGTTGGATAGCTATTTTACCAATAATGCATAAAATCATTTTAGAAAATGCACTTTAATCAGGTTTTCTTTGTCTAATATTACAAATTTGTTTGATTCATTCATATTCAAATTGGAACAATTCTCATATTAAAACTACCCTTAGAAAAGGTTAAAGACTAGAATTTGGTTTGATCGTGCGTTATTTTTTTAGGTAAAAATCCACTCTTGATTCATTAAGCTGTTGCAGCAAGATATTCTAACTTTTGCATTTAGTTCTTTATGCTGATTGTATCTCCTCTTACACAGTGTATGTAAATGTCGGCAGAATCTCAGCCAGGAGACTTCATCCAGGGTGCAAAATGCAGCCTCTGGGCTACATCTTCATCTTGGCCCAGTTCTTTTCTTATTCAGTCAGCACTCCTGGGAAAACACTCATTCTTACAGACATTCTCCTAATGTTTGATTGTAGATCAAACATGGGATCTACAATCTGTTGTCAGGTGTAAGTAGTTGCAAAGATGAGGATATTTTTCATGCAGCACAGCATTTGATGTTTGTTTTGAACATAAAAAAGCACCACAATCTGTTTAGTCTAAACTTTGTAGTCATTTTTGCTTCTAGAAGTCAGGTCAATTTCTTGTTCATTTTCCTCCTCATCTCTTCTCATCAATGCAAAATGTATTTTTGTGGTCCACGCCAGTTTGTCTCTTGGGACTGTTTGAGTCAGTGTATTGACTGAACAAAGACTGGATCTGGATTGCAAGAGTTTTTCAAATTAATACCGCTTTGAAAAATGGCCTCTGTACAAAAGTCAATCTAAAATCCAAAACACATGAAGTCCTGACCTTTTCTATCCATTACAAATTACATCAGTAAGATGGTTTATTTAACTGTGATCATTATGAATGAGCCTCACATTTAACTTTAGTAAAGCAAGTTTAGCAATACCAAATATTGGAGAACATCTCTTACAAATATTGGGTTCACATATATACAGAAAGTAATGCATAATGAGATTACTGGTTTAAAGAGAACACCTGATCTGACACTTGCAAACCCGTGCTTATTAGAGACTTCGATAGTCTGATGCACTGCACAGAGGTCAGAGTTTTCCTTGATTAGGTTTCAAAATGAACCTATTTCACCAACAAACAAAAATGATTGCTTGTCCAAGAATAGCTGTGGCTGTAATCGTTTAATATATCATTTTCAGAACCAGTGGAGGAAAAAAAGTTTTCTGAATTGAAGCTGGTCATCACCCAACTTTAGAGCATCACTACAAGCATGGATGCACACAAAGTGCAGAAAAGCAAATATTTGGTGCCTGTGAGGTGTGTTACCACAATGCTTCGGCCTCTCGTTTTTCTTTATTCTCTGCTCAATGTTTTGGTGTCTGCTATTTGTTCTTTCTGGCTAATCCAGTGGACTGATGCAGGCTTGAAACCTGCCACAAAGATACAATGCCAGTTTCCGTTTGGGTGTGTTTCCTCTTGCCTGTACACATTACGTCTCCACACTGTCACTGTGAGATCAGGATGAAGCACTTAGTTGTGCTTCTAGACTGAGTGTTAAAGATATATTCCACTGCAAAAACAGATGACAGCACTAAAGCTTTTCACAAAATTAATTAACAGTATTTTAGTAATAGCTTTAGATTCTACTGATAAAGATTCAAATGGGATATTCCATGGTAAATACAAATATGGGTTCACCTCCTGTCTGATTTAAAAAAATCTTTTATGCATGGTGTTCAAACGCCCCGCCCTTCACACAGTGGAGAAGAGAAACATTTGTAAATCCTTAACGTGTTAAATTTCTTTTCATTCATTTCAATTTTGTAGTATGCTGAGTTCGGGCACCAGAGAGCAAAGTGGGTACAAACTGGATCTCCCCGCAGTTAAAATGTAGAAGAGTCTGTGTGTCTAATGACGATTGTTCTTTTTTCAGCCTTTCCCAAAAGTGAAAGTCACAAAAACTGAGCCACCAAGCAAAACTGAAGATGAACAGAAGCCTTAACATTGTCTCCACCAAAAGTTCATAGATCACTCTTTATTCATTTTTACCTCTCTCACACTTTCCGAGTGCAAGGTCACATCTGATAATGGTCGTGCGCGGTACACAGGTCTGCCTCCACCGTGTGTGAAGAGCAAAGTGCAGTTACGGGAGGGTGTGGTTCTTTCCATGAGGCTGATGGTGACGAAGTGTACGGTTTTTGTTTTTTTTTAAAAAAAATCGTTGTTTACAGGAAGTATTTTCATGGGAGAGTAAATAACAGCACAGATAACCCCACATACCTGTTCTCTCGTAAAGGGGGTTGGTCTTAATGGGACCCATCGTGGGGGGCGTTTCCAGCAGCGCGTTGCTCACGGATATTTCTCGCGCTATAGACTGTTGGGTGGAAGCGCCGGTGTCGGGAAAGTGCAGTGTGGATAAGTGAACGGAACTGTCCCTGCGTGTTTTATAGCTAGCTAATCACAACTGAAGGCATTAACTAGCCTCTGTTGTGGGAGCTGGAATGACAGAAATGCTGCGTAATCGGGACCGCGCGGTTGTAATGACCGGGGACTCGTGCGCTTTGGCACCGGAGGGAACACTAAGCTTTAACTGAGGAGTTGAGCACCAACAGACAAAAGCAGCAAGGTGCAACACGGCTAATCTTTCTGTTAACTAATTTGCAATATGCAAATGTAGAATACAAAGTGGAAAGTGTTAGCATTGTGCTCATTTTGCTCATCCCGAACCGTGCCAATGCTGGAATGGCTTTTGGCTCTGTGCTTTGTGATCCTGGTGGTCTCAATCTGGCCAGGCTCCAAATATTTTTGTACCGAGAGCCAGCGCGATGCTTTGCTTCAGAGATTTGGAATTTTACAGCAGGTGGCGAAAGGCAAGACGGAGAAGTGCGTCTCTGAGCGAGAGGGGGGCGACGATGCCCAGTCGGCCTGCGTGGGCGCTTTGACCGGTGAGAAGCCACGCACCGTGGCGCTAATATGTAAACCTTCCGCGCTGGCAAACTACCTGCTGAAGCACTGCTGGACTTTCAGTAACTACTCACCGTGTGTCGGCTGGACATGGCGGGCCAGCGCCTTTCTCCAGAGTGTTTACGAGGCGTGCTGGCCGTACGAAAGCCCGGTCCAGTTTGTGCGAGATAACCTGCAGCTAAGTGATGACGGACTGGTGGCCTTGGACTGGGCTGTGCCATCCTACCAGAAACGTCGCAGGACTTCGAGTCACTCCACCAGTCCGGTTCTTCTCATCATTCCAAACTCTTTTGGGAAGATCACTAGAAATGTCCTGAAGGTAACTCGTGCGTTATCGGCATGTCAATAAAAACTTAACTGAGTGTAAAGAAGCATATTGTGGAACAAAGAGGAGGGTAGTAGTTTGTATACAACGTATTGACAACAGGAAGCCATTTGTATCTGCTTTAGAGACAGAAGCCATACCCTGAAGTCCCCAGCAGATGAATCTCAACTTGTGTCGTGAACTTTTACAGATGCCCTGTTCCTCTTATCAGTGTTACAGCATAAACCAAAGTGATGTAAATACAGCAGTCGCTTGGGAGTTCATTCTGTCTTCTTTGGGGTTTTTTGCATCAAAAATACAAGTGTAGCATTTTGAGTATTTCAAGAGCTAAATAGCTGGGCAAATGATTAAAAATAAAATAAAATAAAACCAGAAACAAATAAGGTAATTTTTAATGCACACCCTTGCACAGTGTCTTTAAACTAATCAAAAGAGAATTGCCTTCTTAATTAAAAAGAGAAGACCCCAAATAGCCATTTGAGCTTAAGCCATGGCAAGCTGAGTTGAAAGGAAAGAGCAGAGCAGTGAAAAGAGCAGATGCAGTGGCTGCACCAGTCTTTCAACTGCTCTTTCAATACACTGAGGTAATTGAGTGAGGGATTACAAAGCATCGCTTGACTTGTGAAGGCCGGGGAAGTGCAAGTGCTGCTCCACATGAACGCTTGTTGGTTCTTTCACCGTTCTGGCCACCTGGTATCATGCTTCATTTCATACTGTTAGCTTTGTGTGTAAAGCACTCACAGGCTTACTGTCAGCCCTGTGTCAGAAATGACAAGTCTGCAGGAATACTGGAAAATCAAATGTGCCTGACATTAAACTAGGGCAACTCTTTTAAAAAAGGAAAGGATAGAGAATGACAATAAGGAAGAAATAAGAAGCAAAGAAAACGGAGAGTGCAGCCTACAGCAAAAGCCTCGAATAATGTAGAGATGAAGAGTAAGTGATCAGTGCAGCATGCATTTTTTTTTTTTTTTTTTTTTTACTGGCACCCATCATCAGAATACAGTATTTACAATGAACCCGGTCATTTACGCTTGGGAGGGCTGGAAGCTGAGGCACCACAAGGGATGTGCACCAATTAAGATTGCTTCTGCTATTGGTGAGACTTACTATGCATAAAGCAGTCACAGTCTCTGTGTGTGAGAGAGAGAGGGAGAGGCAAAGATAAAAAGAGCTCAAACACAACCATGCATCTATATCTGTCACACAAGACTGAAACCAAGGAACATGTAGGTTCTTTTATGGGCTTGTGGTTCCTGTCGCCTCCTCTTTAACGCATCCCATTGCAGGGATTTATGAATTTATGAATGAACCACCTCTTCATCAATTATTCATACTTTTACTCACAGTTTGTCTTAGACCCCTTTCGTATCTCTCATTCTGGTACGGTTCATATGCATTAAACATTGTTTATCATATCTATTACTTTTCACTGCCTTTATATTCAGGTCAGAGTTTTAAATGTACTTACATACCTCATACCCAGCTGCTGGTAGTTGCTGGTGGCTGTTTTGCATTGGAAACAGTGGAAACAAACTCCCACCAGTCGTCATAAACCAGTTAACAAGTTGCATCTTGCTTGCTTAAACTGTGAGACTAAAATTAAGAAATAGTTTACTGTGGTTTATTTCTTGGCCTGGTGCAGCGACTTCCTGAGCGTTGGCATGACTGTGATGGAGAAATGCACTACATGGGGGTTTAGATAATGTTTTGGTTACATGTAAACTACACTTTAACACTTACATTTTTTTTTTTAACCATTTCTTTATGTTGCTGTTAAAAAAGCAGCTTTCAGCCTACGAACTTCTTGGATGGAATAGCTGAGCACTTGCTCAGTAAAAGTGGGGAAATTTTAATATCAACACTCATGGTTCTGTCAGTGAGGGATGCAATAAAACCTCAACATTCCCGATTCTAGAAAAAGAGTATGTTTATCACAAAGATAATCAGCAGTATTAAAAAAATATGACAAGCTCTGCATAAATGTGCCAAAATCCTGAGCATACTGTTCATCAAATACTTTACTGTGTCTTTTTCACAAGAAAAAAAAAACAGATCATGAATCTGTTTTCCGTCTCCCCCATCAGTTTTTATCATTTATAGTGTCAGAGCAGTGAGAGAGTCCAAACCATCTCAGTCGTGACTCCCAAAGTTTGTCTCCAAACTGCTCAACCTGAGTTGTCCTTGCAAAAATCTGATTTCCACCTTTTAAAGGTATAAGATGTGCATGTCAAGATATGTATAAAGATGCACACATAACCTCAATGGCTTCTTCAGTAAGTGCGCCTTGGTAATACCAGCTGTTGCCACATTGTTGCACTAGAAGCAGCTTGAACCGCTGATACAAGGGAAGATGAATCCATGCATGTTGTTTTTCTGCTGCCATAGCCCATCTGCTTCAAGTTTCAACAAGTTGTTTGTCCAGAGATGGTCTCCTGCATACCTCGGTTGTAACAAGTGGTATTTTGAGTTAGTGTTGCCTTCATATCAAGTTCAAGCAATTTCCCCTGACTTCTGGCATCACTAAGTCATTTTCACCCAGAGAACTGCTGCTCTCTGCATATTTTCTCTTTTTCAGTCCATTCTCTGTAGATCCTAGAGATGGCTGTGTGGGAAAATCCCACTTTCTCAGATCAGCGCCTCCGGCAGCAACAGCCATGCCACATTCAAGACACTTAAGCCACCTTTCTTCCCCATTCTGCTGCTCAGTTTCAAGTTCAGCAGGTCGTTTTGATCATGTCTACGTGCTTAAATGCATTGAGCTGGTGCCAGGTGGCTGTAAAGCACTGGCGCCTAATGAAGTAACCAGTGAATGTGTAAGTGAACAATGCAGAATGCTTTATTTTATACTTAAATTTTATATACTGTACAGAACATAACAAATTGGAAAGGGTGGATTTGAATGGGAAATTAAAACTTTCTGACAACCATTCACAAAGTTCTCGATTTAATGTAACGTTACATCCACAAATCGGTTCCACGCCTCACTTGTATTGGTTTTTGTAAAGCAACGCAGTTGCATCATAAACTCACTCATTTCTTCCAGCAACACAGGATTTTGTTTCTCTACTGTTTGTGTGTTTTACTCCAAACAATTAATATGAAACAGCCTTTCCTTTGATTAGAGTTCATACAAATAGTTGGTCATAAAACTGCCAACCATTTAAATAATGCAGGACACCAGAACTCGGGATTAATACATAACAAGTGCAACAACTTTATTTTAAATTGTAGATTTCTATTTTTGATTTAAATGTCAGCACTATGCAGTCTAAAACTAATAGCCGAAAATGAATGGCGGTATAAACGGCAACATGGTAATATATTGCAGCAAAAATTATTTATAAGTGTTGACATTCTGTAACATGTGACTGCTGAATAGTATTTTAGCAAACTGTTAACCAGCGGACACATTGTTGTTGCCTCTGAAGGGCTTTTGATCAAGTAGCATTCCTAATTGAATGTGAGCACCGCTGACCTTTAGAAGCCTTCTGGTATTAATGTCTTTGTCGCTGTGTGAGGACAAGGGGTGTTGCGCAGTGTGTGCAGCCCTGGGTGGAGGAATTTGTCACGGAGTTGACAGTTTATCAGCACCAGCCAAAAAGTGCTGGAGTGGCTGTTGCAGTACAATTAAACTTAAATCTCTAACAAAACCAACTGCATAGTGTTAGTATAATATATCCCCACAAACTAGAACATGTACATTTGATCTGACACGTGCTTTGCAGTGACTTTAAAATCACAGAATCTTTCGTGATCAAGTACTAAATGGTAATGCTGAGGCTAAAAACGTCAAGTCCTATTGAGGTTTAATGATAAAGCTTTTTTTATCGTTACTGTGGGTAAACTGCACCGTCTGATGTTTGTTTACACTGTGCGACTGGAAAAATACCTTAGTAAGCGGGCAGTTCTCCTAATTTAATCACAGCTGGAGCGCTCATTGTTTGTCACAGCTCTAATATGCTGCTGAAACCGTAAGATCGCTCTGTGTTTCTCTGCATCACCGGGAATTTAACTGAACCCAGAAGTGATTTTATATTCATATGTGAATAGTCCTTTCTCCTGTGTGCTCCTCTCAAATCCTGATGATTTGAGGAAGAGGCTAATGAATGAGCAAATGAGTGATGTTCTGGTATAAGAACTCAGCGCAGCACTGACCTAGTAATGTGTCTGGCACAGTAAATCCTCTTTTCATATAGACAACGAAGAAGTGGCAAAACTGCTACTGCAGTCTTTCTCAGCTGGTAAATATTTAATGCTCTTCCCGCAGCCCGTTGGGATTCCTGCAGTTTTAAAGTGAAAGGTCATTTAAAATCCAGCCATTTATTTGCACAAAATGTACAATAATCTCACCGTCGTCCCGAGTCACAAACCTCTGTGTGTGTGCACTCTCCTTCTCTTGTGCTGAGATAAAGGATTAGAAGCACTGCAGATTTAGAGGGAAGACAAATCTTCTCCCTGTGCTTCCTGACAACATAATGGGTCATTTGGTCTAATGGTAATATTTAGAGACTAGACTGCAGCAGTTTCTCATTTTCAGTCCCTCTCTACATGGAGAGCTTTTCACAGTAATTTAGAAAATCACTCGTCATTTGTGTTCTGCTCTGAATCAAAACCTTCACAGAGTTAAGTTACAGTCATTTTTTTCCAGGGTAATGAATGAAGACTGAGGTTCACTATTTTTTGATGTTGTCTGTTTGTCATGTGAAAAGGAAAGTTAGAGAACTAAGAATAACCCATGATTCAGTAAGTTGCAGACCAACCTGTAGCAACAATAACTCAAATTATGTTTGTGTAAAAATTGGCGTGTAAAAATATAATCATGAGCAAATAATATTATTGCACAGGGGCAGCTATTTAATGCAGTATGCACAATTAAATTCCTTGCACATAAATTCAACAACCTGCATGTGTAGATCTCAGCAGCCAAAAAAACCTCATGATGCACGTGAGAGTGTCTGTTTGGTGAGCATTGCAGCAGATTAATGGGGAAATTATGTTTGCATGCCTGCCTGTTTGCAGTCCTTTTGCATGCTCAGACAGTCTATCTACCTGCAAAGAGCGTCTGTTGTCAGACGGGGACAATGTCATAAATATGTCATACAGTCCATCTGTGGGCTCCTGCTGGTGATGTTGTTGGTCTGTCAGCAAGCTGCAGAGAAGAGAGAAGTTCTAACATACAAATAGGGATGGGAATTGATCAAATTTAGCAATTCTTGTTCCATTTTTAAATCGCGTTTTGATTTGATTCCTTATCAATTCTCATTGGCTCAGCTTTGAGAGTCTATCAAAAACGTGACATTTGTCTAAAATAAATTACGTTATGTGGTCAAATCTTAGTGCGTGTTGCAGGTATTTTCCCTCTATATTATGTTCAATGTTAATCAAAGAAAATAATGTAATCTTACACAGAACACTTTTCTTTATAGTACAATATGTTTTCTCTGTAAAATGACCTGAAAAACGCTGCCTCATAGTTAACAATACCTGGTTACAACAACCAAACACCAGTTAACAATATCAACCTATAGGGTAAAGTTCCACACACCAATTTCACTCAGCTTTAACATCACTCTGGGTTCTTAGCTAGCTTAGCATTAGCATGCTGTCTGTGCAGGTGCTTGCAAATGCAGATGTTTGCACTTTGCATCGGCAACATTGTTGCAAAATCTGCAACATTTTTGCAATGAAAATAAAAGTAATTTCCATATCCACGCTGCATATCACTATTTTCATCCTCCCTTCACAAACTAAAATCAGCTGATTGTTGCACAAGTGCAATTGGAACTGATAAGCGGATCCAACTGCCAAGAAGAGCAGTAATTGAAAGGAAGTCAACTACTGAGTTTATTGAGTTTATTCCCATCTCTACATTCAAAAATCTGAAATTAAATGCTGTGTTAAAAACAATTAAGTGTCCACTGCAGCCACTGTCTCTCTTTCTTATGGTGTTTTTCTTTTTTTAAAAGCCTTGATTGGGTTTTTTTTATTCGTGCTTCTTCCATTCCTAGTCAACTCCACTGTCACAGCCTTCCCTGTTCATAAAGCTTTTAATGGTGGACAGCATCGCCGTCGTATTGAGCAGAATGAATTTGGGATTTTGGAGGACTGCACGGAGGTACATTTGCTTTGGTTGAAAACCTCTTTGTGGGCCCTAGATGGGCAAATACCTGTGCAAACTGATGCAATCATAGTACCATAAATAAAGAAATAAAGTGTTATTGCTCTCACAAGCAACTGTGCTTTCAAAGCTGAATTCTGCTTGCTCTGATCAGTCTGAATTTTGACAGTTTGGAGGGCAGAGCCCAACGGAAGCATTAAAGTCCATCCATTGATGTCAGTATTTCCATCATTACACCGCAAAAAAATAACTATTGGCATGTAAATTCGGCAAAGTTCATTTGTTAAATTGTGAACAGATATGGTATTAAAGAATACTTATGCTGCTGTCATGGTGTCATTTCGTTTGAAAGGTATAATCTGAATTTCTCAGTCACAAAGGTTGTGGAATTACTCGTTTGAAATCACTATGAGAAGTCTGATTAGAGCGAGCACTGCCTGCAAGAGCGTGAATCTGCTGTAGCACTTGCCAAGTGGATACTCTTGTAATGGATTCTTTGTGTAGTTGGTTGCTGAGTTCTACCTGTGTAGGTTATTGAATTTACATGTGAGGAATTGAATTCAGAATCAGAGAGACTTTATTAATCCCAGAGGGAAATTGGGTTGTCATAGCAGCAAATATACAACAAACATCAAGCACTTATCTAAAATGAGGGTAGAAACAGAGATAATGATAGATAAATATTAAGATGAATAGATAAATATAGAGATATAGGTATAAATATAAAAAGACAAGTGCGCGTGCAAATATATCTTGTGGTGTACAAAAGTAACAGGATGCATTGAGGTGTGATTAATTCTGTTCCACACGTGTGGACCTGACCCAAGTCGATGAATTGAAGAGTGTGATAGCAGCAGAAAGGAATGACCTCCTTTAACGTTCTTTCAGATAGTTGAAGGAAGCTGTCGCTGAAACTGTTCTTCAGCTTGTCCCAAGTGTCTTGTCTCAAACACACAATAATAACATGGACTGAACCACCATTCACAATCACTAGCACTTTATATAGCCTCTGTAGAAATTATCCACATATCTCACTTATCTTAACTGCACTACTGTATAGTTCTGTGTAAATAATCAT